TACAATATCTATAAGCAGATCACTCATAAACAAAGGATAGGCTCCTGCTATAAAATATAATATATATGTTATGATAATTTACCAAAGACACCAAAATTTGATGAACTAATCTCAAGCCTGGGGTCCAAGGCTTAAATTTTTAAAAAATAAACTTATTTTAACTGATCCATAAAAACATGAAAATAGCACTTTGTAAAGGGGTACCACATACACACACACACACACATTGTGTAGTTAGGTTAAACATATCTGTCTCCTGAATCATTTGTCACTTTTTTAAAGGGAAAAATATTAAAATAATCTTTTTTTCTAGACTTTGCAGACAATGCTTGGGTTTTGAACTGGATTCTGTGCCCTGCTATTTGTGACACATTGAGAACCAGTTGGACTCTTTGAACTGTTACTGGCTTTAGAATTAATCTATGCCCTAATATCCTATAGCTTCATGTGAATACTTTGATCTTAAAAAATTGCTATAAATGAGAGGAGAGTCGAACACCAGAAAAATCTAAATAATGTTTGTATGAAATTTCAACATTAAGGTATATATGTATATTGAATGTTGCCCACTGTTTGTTTTGACTAGGACCTCCATGAGGCCAACCCCAAAACTTCACCCATTGTGTGACAGATAGCTTTTCATGACCTGTTTAGGTAAACATCAACTCTGTGCCCACCTACCCTCTTTGGTTCTAGCGGCAATACGCCCCCATTATTTTCTTCACAGCTGAATCCATACACTTTCCAGTCAATCTCTACACAGGTCAGAGAGGATCTATTTCTTCTCTTCTAATGAAATGAGTGTTCTTTTTTCAAGCTGTCTGAACCAGAGGCAATTATATTGGCTCTCCTTGTGGTATATGGTCTCCCAGAGTAAAGGCAGCCTTAGCAAGGCGGGGAAAACTTATCATTGCCTCACACATCAGAAAAAAATGGGTTAGAGAATCTGCATTGCCCATACTAGCATTTCTGCGGCCACAATAGATGCAGAGACAGCCAAATCTGTTCACTTTTTCCTGTTCTCCCAGCTCAGAAGATCCTCTGATGATATTACTGAAATCACTCAGCATGCTCCTTCTGAGGGGATTGCTATTGATCCAGACAAGCTGTGGGGCACGCTGTTCCTTTCTTTCAGCAGAAATTCCTGAAGGTATTTTTTTTTCTGGATTTGTAAATGGTATTTTGTCAGTAAAAATACAAAACAAATCTTTATCTTTTATCTATACATAATTTCATTGCATTTTCTTTTAAATAGCTCTTTCCCACAAACTTAGTGATTTAGTATAATAAGAGAATGGAGGAGACTACACTGCCCTTGATCCTGATATCAATATGGCTGTATTTTGAGTCACACATTCAGTCTTTGTTCTGCTGCCCTTTTGTTCCAGGAGGCTGATGTGACATAAGAACTCACATTGGGCAAAAGGCCAGGACATTTACCTTCCACTCGCAGGTCTGCTGAGACCAGTGGGGGTGTCTCTGCTTAGATTTCCACAATTACCAGGCTAAAGGACAACTGATCTTAGTTCTCAGAAGATCAATAAGGGATCTGAAAGATGGAATGAAGTCTGTACTCATCCAGTGTGGCTAGAAAGCTGCTGTTCTGCTTAATATCAGTGCAAGTATATTCTCCATTTTATACTATTTACATACTATACAAAGGATGGCTCAACTTCATACTAATTTTCTCTTCCTTTGAGCATACTACAAGGTGACATTTTCATGCCACTGTAAATAGCGCTGGCCTAAGTGCTCATCAGTGGGTATAGCAAGGGTCTTAGTCTGCCTCAAGCCTGGCCCATAGCACCCTTTCACAAAAAATCCTGTAGGTCTTCCTCTTCTATATGGATGCAATAGGGAAATTCTTCAGGCAACCTTGGAAAACATATTTGAGCAAGGGGGATCCAGAAGATGTAATTATAGTCAACTCACTGCTCTGAGAAGAGAGAATGGTGCAGGAAGACCCAATGTAGACTCTGCCTTACATGAACCAAACATAAGCTAACAATTTTATTTCATGGAGTTTCTGGAACTTCTTAATAATCAGTTATATGAGGTGGCCTTACTATAATCAGTAACTGTACTATATCTCTTCAAGGAATTAGAATAACACAAATGCACTTGACAATCCAATGCAATTTCATCTTCTTTTGCTGATTTAACATGTGTGTGGCTGAGTATTTCATTCAGGATTTTCCCTCAAATTCCTGGCAAATCAGGCCTTACAGATTTGAATGAAAATTTTTGATCATATGAAATGTATTTGGAATTAAAACACAAATTATGGATATTATGTATATATTACATGTATAATAGGTATTCATACATAAAATGTGACAATAATGTAAAAGA